AGTGAGCTAAATCAGTCGGTGACTGACAGCAAGTGATAATCCCATACAAAGTGGGTTTCAAAGCCTCCAAACTCCTGTTGCTAAAACCTGGCTTTGCCAAGTTTCCTAGAGTAAACAATACAGTGGATTTCCAAAACACCTGCATCTGAGTGCAATGCAATCAGGAGAATCAGCTCACAGCATGATCACTTATAGTCATGTGCAAAAGAAAGTACACCATCTCTCAGTTCTATAGTTTTACATATCAGGACATCATTAAAAAATCATCTGATCCTTAACAGGTTCTAAACCTATTTAAATCTAACCTCAGGTGTAAAACAACACACAACAGGTTCCACTGCGTCATTATTTACTTAACAAAAATGAAACCAAAACGCCAAGTGAGAAAAACTAAGTGCACCCCATGATTTAATAGCTTGTAGAACCACCTTTAGCATCAATAACTCGAAGTAATATTTTTCAGTATGACTATCAGTCTCTCAGTGTTGTGGAGGAATTTTGGCCCACTCTTCTTTACAAAGTTGCTTCAGTTCATTGATTTTTGTGGGCATTCGTTTATGCACAGCTCTCTTAAGGTCCTGCCATGGCATTTCAGTCGGGTTGAGATCTGGACTTTTATTGGGCCATTGCAACATCTTGACTTTTCTCTTTTTCAGCCATTCTATCATAGATCTGCTAGTGTGCTTAGGATCATAGTCCTGTGGCATGACCCAATTTCAGCCAAGCTTTAGCTGTGAGACAGATGGCCTCAAATTTCAATCTACAATACTTTGATATACAGAGGAGTTGGTGGTCGACTCAATGCCTGCAAGATGCCCAGGTCCTGTGACTGCAAAACAAACCAAAATCATCTCCCCTCCACCAATGTGCTTGACAATCGGTATGAGGTGTTTGTGCTGTTATGCGGTGTTTGGTTTTTGCCAAACATGGCGCTGTGCATTATGGCCAAATATCTATGCTTTGGTCTCGTCTGTCCACAGGACATTGTTCCAGAGGTCTTGTGGTCTGTTCAAATGCTACTTTGCAAACCTAAACCATGCTGCCATGTTCTTTTTAGAGAAAAGAGGCTTTCTCCTGGCAACCCTTCCAAACAAGCCACACTTCTTCAGCCTTTTTCCCAAGTTGTTCTTGCTAATTGAGGCCTGTAGAGCCTGAGATGTAGCACTTGAGGTTTTTGCAATTTCCCTGAGCACTGCACTGTCTAACTCTGGAGTGAATTTGCTGGGATCCACTCCTGGGAAGACTGGCAGCTGCCTTGAATGTTTTCCACTTGGGAATAATCTTTCTCAATGGAGAATGATGGACTTAAAATTGTTTGGAAATGGCCTTATAACCCTTCCCAGATTGATGGGCAGCAACAATTGCATCTCTCAGATCATTGCTGAGGTCTTTCTTCCTTGGAACTGTGTTAACACGCACCTGAAAGGTCCAGACCAACAAGCTGCCAAACTTCTGCTTTTATAGGGGGGGTCACACTTGCCGATGATCAATTAATCAAGTGCATTTCATTAGCAGCAAGTGACTCCCTTTTAATTCCTATAGAAGTAGTAAGGGGGCACTTAATGTCTCACACAGTGCTTCTGCATTTTGGTGGTTATTAAATAATGACATGGTGTAAAATGGCATGTGTTGTTGTTCATCTGAGGTTGTAATTACCTGTTTTAAGGACCTGCTAAGGGCGAGATGATTCATTATGTACTGATATGCAAAACCTAAAAATTGACAGAGGGTGTTACTTTCATTTTCACATGACTGTATTTACAGGCCACAGATGACAACTGAGTCCTTCACCCTCACACCTGGACAGATTACATATTACTGAGGGAAGCTACTCATAAAAGTAATCCATTTCAGATAGTGGTGGAAAGTTAAGTCCAGAAAGTACAAATCCAGACCAACACTTTGTTTCAACCAACCAGCTGAGTACTCTGTGACTGTCACTCTTTGTACTCAACTGGTTGGTTGAAACAAAACCATGGCCTGGATTTGTACTTTCTGGAGCTATTCTTTCCACCTCTGTCTGTAACTGACTTCCTCAACACTGGTGACACTTCAGGCCATAAAACCCACACTAACAGAAACTACCCCTGGGTTTCTGAATGCACCTGCCCCAGCCTCTTTACCTGAGAAGGTACACAGCCCGTTCAATGTCATTCAGATCCTCATCCACCGTCAGCTTGTCGATCTCCTCTGCTGTCTGGGGCAGCGGGGGTGAGACAGAGGGGTCAGAAGAGAATTTCTATGAGCATTTTCAACAGAAACAACAGAATATTACCAACAGCAGGCAAGGAGAGCCAACCTTCAAGGATGTGACTGAAAGAAATGTGTCTGACTATGGGCTCTGAATCCTAATGGCTGGGACAGAGTTCACGTGAGTGCATCTATGACAGACTCCCGGTGCTCTCTGACCCAACAGTCTCCAGCTCCCTGCAACGGGGTCCCATCATGTACAGGGGGGTGGGAGGGGGTTCCACCATGTTGCTGTGGCTGTGACTCAACATTATCCCTCTCTCCCTGGAGGAAGACGGCATTCCAGCTCCCACTGCGGGGGAGGAGGCATGGAGGGAGGACAGGGGAGCGTGAGCATGTTCTGTTACTTTAAGGCTCTCTCATTATCTGAAGTGCGCCTCCAGATCCATGCTCAGAACAGCCCTCGCCTGCTGTGCCCCCCCCCCCTCCCCAACAGTACCTTCACAAGGCATAATGGTACTTCTATTACAACAATTCCAAGGCAAATGCTGGACACAGCAGCAAAACACATGGCCAGTTAGCCACCAAATGTGAAGTGACACTTATCCTAATAAAAAAAAAAAAAACCTTCACTGCATATCATGAGCGTTATCTGATTAAGTGCTTAATGTTATGCTGTTCAGTAAGCCAGGAGATAATGGTCAATATCCTCCATCATCCCGGATGCAGCATGCTCACTCGGAACTTAGAAACGGAGCCCTGTTGCCTCTGCTGCAGAGAGATGTGGAGGTGCGGTGGGGGGAGCCGAGCTGACCGAAACTGCGTCACGCAGGGAGGCTAAGTGGGTAACCCCGTTACACAGACCCCTCTCCTTTTTACTGCTTTTGCGGTTCCGGCGGGTCTCTCTTCCATTATGACACACGGACGGCATCTTACAACGAGAACGCATGGATCCGATCTCCTGATTATTATCATTATGGCATTAAAATGAAGGACAGAGAAAACGCAGGGACAGCGCAGTCTTTAACCTTAATTTGCAACAATTCAAAATGACTAATTAGGGATATTATAAACATGTAATCTCTAATCAATCACAAGTCCGAGTGTAAATGTAATATGAAATTAAAAAGGTATAAGGGACAACTGCGAGGAATTAAAAGTCACCTGAGGCTGATACAGATGTACATCGACGGTAACTATCTATGCATACACAGTGTGTGTGACTAAGAGAAGCGAACAAGCAGCTAATTGCCTCACAAGTTTTCTGTTTCCTAATGATTTACTTGCCATGTTGTCAGCAGAGTGTAATTTGTCATAAAAATCCAATTTGACACAACACGTGCACAACATACAGTATTTGGACTTAAGAGGTTTCAGCATGTAGTGTGGAGGGTGGATGGATACCTTCAGGCTCCGTCGTATCGGTCTTTCGATGATTGCTAGGTCCTGTAGGTCCTCTATTTGCCCGAACAGACTGGACTGGTTCAGAGTCATCTTGATCGCGATTCTAAGTTGATCTCCCCTTCCTCCCCCCTGCTGCTGTGGTGGTCGTTGCTGGTGCGGAGATGACTTGTACTGGTTTCTTTGAACAGGGAGGTGAAAAAGGTGCGATCCACCCACGAAGCCCCCGACCCTAAGGACCGATGTGGTGTCAGATCGGTTTCAGTCCGTCTGGCCAGCGGCCGCCTCCTTGCATGGTCCTCCCTTCGGGCACGAAGTTTCACGTCGATGAGGTAAACTTGATTTATAAGTGATGACTACATGGTGCCCGGACGTGACCAAGGTGAGCCCAGTTTGCGCTCCTAAGCTACACTGGAATGATGCAGATCGTGCGTGACTCTCAAAGCTGGTCTAGCCGACTAGTTATCGATGATCACTAGTAATACAAGGAACGGTCTTGTCGCTTCTCCACCTTCGTGTATTACTATCCCCAGACTCCAGATTTGTGGTCTGTCCGAGTAACGTTACATAACATGGTGTTTCCCCCCCTTGACCCCCTGCCACAGCGCCACAACCCCAGTTTCTTCAGTTTTAAGTTATCCAGAAATTCAGATTCCAGCGGGTAAATAAATGAACCAGGAATAAAGAACGTGACCTGTACTTCAGCGGCAGGACGAGGAAATAACTACCAGCGTAAACAAAATATTAATAATAACAACGAATGTTCTTCTTATTATAAAACGATAAAAATCGAGAGAACGGCGACAGCGAGCAGCCTCGAATCTATACTGCCCACATCTTGGTCTGGCTCTGAAGCCTCCAGAGAGCAGAAGCTTTCGGTTAAATATTCACGGTCCCCCCGCACACACACAGACACACACACATCCGTACAGGCACCACGCAGCAAACGGCGGCTCCCCGGCAAACAGCGACTAGAGGGTCTCCATGGAGACGAGGCGCGAGAGCCAGGCAGCCGCCAGCTGGGAAACTTACTGCGCTAGCATGCGTCACTGCGTGGTGGTCCCAGGAATTTAAGAGATGCGATCATTAGATTAAATGGTGCAATGAAAGAAAATCGTCACCGATCGTAATTAATATGATGAAATATGTATACAGAACTATTAAGGAGATGGCAGGATAATGTTAAAGTTAACATTAACACACTTTTGATAATGACAGCTTTTTATTGACATACACCATGAAATGAACGTCACATCACTCAGGCTGTATAATTGAAGTTACAGCAAAAATCACCATATTTTTAAGGTACTGTAAGATTCATAAGCGTGCTGTCCGTGTTCTTGTACGGGCTGACAATAAAGTTATAAAGTTGGATCCTGATTGGTTAGCGAACATTCTGTGCCTTCGGATTGGCTCAGAGGCTGTTCACGTGACCTTGACTCGAATGGCTGCTTTCGCATGTGGCGTGTGGCTGTATTTCTCCGTGCATGTACGTTTAAATATCGAAGTTTGAAGTAGAACGCCATAAAATTGGAACTGTAAGTATGAGTCAGCATAATATATATATAATATGTATAGCTTAATGAGTTATTTGTTTGTTCTCAATGTCATTTTAACTGCCAATAGTTGGGTATAATGCTTCGGTTTTTATTTCCACCTGAAATGCAAGGTACTGTAGTATATTTTACTGGCCTTCTTGATCATGAAAATTATGATTATAAACTTAAACCGATATACTGTAAAAAGTTTACCTGCTTTTCAAGTTCAAATTTTATATTTATGATTTCTTTAAATAGAAGAAACAGTGTTTTCTGCCAACGCTGAATGCCACTTCAGGAACAGTATATAAACCAAGGCTGTAGTTATAATATATATCGGGGGGGACACGTCCGCCCCAATATTCAGATGTACTCACAATGTACCCCCCCCCCCCCCATATATATATTATAATTATGGCCTTGATCTCCCCAATGTTGACTCCATGTCGTGATGTAAAGATGTGATGTAAAGTGTGATGAAGTTCAACAAGTGATCTTGTTGGTAATCCTATCCTGTGAGATGTGTGTGTAAAATACATATATATATATATATATATATATTCCCAGGAACAAGAAGACCCTAAGTATTCACTATAAGAAAGAGGAGTGTAGGTGTGCGATGAAACCAAAGAAGCGTGGGATCCAGGTGAGGGGCACCTGGAAGGCGGTGCCGGTTGATCCCAGTGTTTTCTCCGAGGAAAATATGGATGGACTGGTGTGCTTTGAGGAGCTGACAAATTACCGCCTGGTGGATTCTAAGGCTGCCATAAAGGAGAACAAGAAAAAGAAGGGCAGGGAAGCCAAGAAAAGATCAGCACGTGACAGAGAGGGCGGCAGCGAGGGGACCTCCGACAAGGAGCTGACAACACCGGCGAAAAAAAGGAAGAAAAAGAAAGCAAAGCTGAAGGAGGTAGCCGAGGGAGAGGAGAATGGCGAGCGTGAGGAAGAAGGTACCCAGGATCCTGATGACAGCAAGTCAGAAGAGACTGTGGAGGCTCCTGGGGTGGACAGCCTGAGCGATCTAACAAAACCGACGAAGAACAAGAACAGAAAGAAGGTGAGAAGGACAAAGGAAGCAGGAGAACAGAAAGCGAAGGAAGCTACAGAAGAAGAGACACCTGCAAAAGTCACTCCGCCTCCCAAGAAGAAACCCAAGAACTGGACCAATGTGACACTTTCTCACTCCTTAGACCGAGAGACAGACTTATCGGCGTGGAAAGATCTGTTGGTTCCAGAACCGGTGCTGCAGGCTCTAGGCTGCCTTGGCTTCAGCGCTCCTACACCCATTCAAGCTCTGACCCTGCCCTCTGCCATCAGGGACAAGATGGACATTCTGGGAGCTGCTGAGACCGGTGAGTTGATACCTCATCATAGTAATGATCTGCTGCCCTGTTGATTTAACGTAGTTTCTCACTCTGGTCTTCGGGGACCCAGTCAGTCCATGTTAACTCCTTCCGAACTGCCTGCCATACAGTGTATATTTTTTTGCACATCCAAGCTGCTGGGAGGGAGAAAAAACATGGACTGTCTGTGGGTCCTGGAGGACCGGATTGGGAAACATTAAGGTGATTGGGGATGTGTCAATATGAGTATCACTGATGTCAGTGACTTTGTGAAGAATGTTTGTGAAGTTCTAAAAAACCTGTTATATCTGGTGGGGAAAGTTTAAATTCTCATGATGTTTTATCGTTTGTATTTCAATGAATGAAAGAAAAAAAAAGGCAGCAAGCTAAGATTCTATGGCTACTGTCATTAACCTCAGGGAGAAGATTATAATATCTTTCTATCATAAACTTTGTTCGATTACATTGGTGTAGGAAGTCCAGGGGAAGGATGTGATGATTTCAAGTCAATTTCCTTTCCCTTGACAGGAAGTGGTAAAACACTGGCATTTGCGATTCCTATGATTCACACCATCTTGGAGTGGAGAAGAAGACAGGAGGCGATGAGCCAGGTGCCACTTGGAAGTGACAGCAGCCCAGTTCCCATGGAAGAGGAAATGCAGACAGGAGAACACGACGACGGGGAGGCAGAGCAAGAGCCAGATGAGGATGAAGAAGAAACCAAACTGCAGGGTGCTGATGACGATGAAGAGGAGGAAAATACACAGGCAAAATATGACGATGAAGACTTTGATTCTCAGGAGCTAGGGTGTGTTAAAGTCATTGAGGATGTGGAGTTTATTGATGCTGATGGTGAGATGAGCACAACCAAGACCCAGGCCAGTCAGAAACAGCCTCTGCTGGGATTGGTCCTCACTCCAACGCGGGAGCTCGCTGTTCAGGTGAAGCACCACGTGGATGCTGTGGCTCAGTTCGCAGGTATGTGGATGGTATCCAGTTGCAGTTCTATGTCAGACCATTTACCTCCATTCTGCTGCTTTGTTTAAACACTACAGTGTACTGGTCACATGGTGCTGGAACGGCATTCCTCTGTCTTGGAATGCAACATAACCCAGTCAAACTCAATATGATAATGACCTCATTTCTTGTCTCCTGGTTCAGGTATAAAGACGGCCATTGTTGTTGGTGGGATGGCCCCTCAGAAGCAGAACAGGTTACTGAAACGCCGGCCTGAAATCGTGATTGCCACTCCTGGTCGCCTCTGGGAGCTGATCAAGGAAAGACACCCACACCTCCAGAACCTCAGACAGCTCAGGTAACATGAGGTGGTTCATTTGAGCTTGGAATAAATACTTAGAAGTAGTATTGTATATACAAGACTCTTATGTACATGTAACACTACATGAGTGAACTCTGTTGAATGCTGTGGCTATTTATGTTGACTAGGAGCCTTGTTATTGACGAAGCAGACCGCATGGTGGAAAAGGGCCACTTTGCTGAGCTAGAGAACCTCCTGGAAATGCTGAACAACTCTCACTTCAGTCCTGAGAGACAGACATTTGTGTTCTCTGCCACGCTGACCATGAAGCACCAGCTTCCCAGCCGCATATTCCAGAAGAAGAGCAAGAACATGGTCCAACGCGACAAACTGGAGACTCTCATGGAGAAAGTGGGCATCAAGGCCAAGCCCAAGGTCATTGACCTAACCCGGAAGGAGGCCACGGTGGAAACGCTGACGGAGACGCGAATCCACTGCGACAAGGATGAGAAGGACTTCTACCTGTACTACTTTCTGCTCCAGTACCCAGGCCGCACCATGGTGTTCGCCAACAGCATCGACTGCATCAAGCGCCTGTCCTCGTTGCTCACCATCCTGGAGTGCACACCTCTACCTCTGCACGCCAACATGCACCAGAAACAGCGGCTGAAGAACTTGGAGAGGTTTGCTGAGAAGGACAGGTAATTGGTTAATTGATCGATTGGAATGTTAAAGCAGTAAAACTCGTGGTATATGTCTCTCCCACTGTTAAAATCACTGAAATTCAGTAGTTCTTTTTCTTCACGGCTCATTACTTCTTTATCAATGCATGGACAATAACCATGTCCTTCCTTGGGACAGATGTGTCCTCCTCACCACAGATGTGGCAGCCCGAGGCCTGGACATTCCCGACGTCCAGCATGTGATCCACTATCAGGTCTGTCACTGCAGATATCTGCGTGGCCCAGTGAGGTCATCAGACTCCTTATCTCGGACTTACTGTTTCAGGTGCCCCGGACATCAGAAACGTATGTGCACCGTAGCGGCCGCACGGCAAGAGCCACGAAAGAGGGCCTCAGTCTGCTTCTGATTGGCCCGGACGACATGATAAACTTCAAGAAAATATACAGGACGCTTGGAAAGGATGAGGAGCTCCCACTGTTTCCTGTACAGACTAAGTGCATGGCAGAAATCAAGGTATCCTGTTCCCTTCAGTTTTCAGAGTGATGAGATGGTCCTGCCAGGCTTTTAAGTTGCGGTACACCCTCATCAGGGTGAGTTAACACTAACCGCTTTCGTAGGAGCGTGTCAACCTGGCGAGGAAGATCGAGAAGATCGAGTACCACAACAGTAGAGAGAAGCATCACAACTCCTGGTTCAAGCAAGCAGCGGAGGCACTCGAGCTTGAGTTGGACGACGATGTTCTCCTGGGTAAACATTTCCTCTTTGGATTCACGCAAGCTCTCGTACAGAAGGGGACACTCCTGTCTGAACAAACCGAATAATGTCAAGCTTAGGTATTTATTAACGATCAGTTAGTTTTGAGGCAGGATGTAATTGGAGACCGGTAACGTCAGTCATCCCAAACATGCAGCCTGTGGAAATGAACAGCTAACCTGTCCCTATAAAATGTTTATTATCTGCCCTGACATGCTGGTTTTAAAATCCCATCCTGCCTTCAGTTGTTCATGTGCTTGTTTTTTTTTACCCCCCAGGAGGGAGGAAGGACACACATGAGGAGCAGCAGCAGCAGAAGGTGGTAAAGAGCCTGAAGAAACACCTCAAGTACCTGTTGCAGCAGCCCATCTTCAAGAACGTGATGAGGACCAAGTACCCCACCCAAATGGGGAAACTGGCACTGCCCGACCTACCGTTGGCCAAGTATGAGAGCGCTCTGGAGAGCCTGAGCAGCCAGGGACGGAAGGAAAGAGAGAAACAGAGGAACATGAAGAAGAAGAAGAAACAGCAGCAACAAGATTGATTTACCTTTTTAAAAACTTTAATTTGGACAGATGCTTTATAAAGCATTTGTAATACTGTTCTATAAAAAGAATTGATCTTTCCAACAAGTCATTTACTTTGAATTTGCACATAGTTGTGAATTTCAACACCGAGGTCCAAGTCTGAAATAGCTCGTTACACAAACGGCTGTGATCACGGGACATATTTTCCCCGACGGTGTTGAAAACTGTCTCATGAAATTTCCATATATTACGCAGGTCTTAGTGCACCCAGTGTTTTCCTTTTACGTTAGCAAGACAGTTTTATTTAACACAAATGGGTCCTTAGGCAAAATGTGACCGTCCAGGCAATGTTAATGAGGAGAAACTGGGTATAGCAAATCATAGTGGGAGTTCTTGTAGAGAAGATGCAGAGTGGCTTCCACTTCTTCTGGAATGGTATGGAAAACGAGGCTTCCGCTGCCCCCCTCGACAGAAACAATCCTGATGGTCACACCCAAGGCTTCTGACAGGGCAAGGATCTCCACGTGGTCACATTCCATCGCCATGGTCTCCACCTCCTAATGATGCAGAGCAGAATGTCACTCACCAGACATAATGAAACGAAGCAGTACCCACAGGCAGGTTTGCTGCCAAAGCAAATACAATAGGGAGTTACACAAAACACAAGATTCTTGCTGGCTTTTCTATTGAACTGCCACTAGAGGGAAGCACTTGCAAGACATTCAAAACAAGTTATCCGTTGTTGAACAGTAAATATAACTTTTTTTCACAACCCCTCCATTTGTAACTTCCAGCTGTTTAAACACTGACCTGGGTGCAGTACGCTTTCAGGTTGGGTGCTTCTACAAAGTGCTGGAAGCGCTCGCTGTGATTCTGCAGGTGGGCGGAGGTGAGGAACCGTAGGTACTGGACCACGCTGTCTGAGGTCGTCTGCTCGTTGAACATTTCTAACAGAGTGTTGCCATGCGCGTCTGCTTCACTGCGCTCCACGACGTTAACAAACTATGCCAGCATTTTTGGGAAGGTTACAAACGTGGGCCATGTCAGATTGTAACAAGAATCATCATTACATTCACATTGGATTCTGTTGAAACGTGCTGCCATTACAGATGGAAAAACTGACAGCATTGCATGAAGCTGCCGGCTCGAGGTCGGATGTGCACTCACTGTGCTAAACAAGGCTCTGAAACGGTCCTCCGAAATACCAGAGATTGTAAGCACTTTACTGCTCCGCAGTACGGTATCTCTGAACCTAGGGGAATAAGAGAGAGCGTATGCGCATGTGCGTCTTAGTCCACGCGCCCCCTGGCGACCGGAAGCAGGTCAGATACCTGCACGCTTCTCCGTCCACAGATTAGTTAAATAAATGAAACGTGGTTACCGTACTTACATCTGCATGCCCTCTGTGTTTCTAAACGACTCCAGACACCCAAATGCAACGGCTCGGTAGAAACAGTTGCCATCTCCCCTGATTCTTCTTATTAATGCGTATTGGGTATAGAGTTCCTTTGAGAACAAAAGCATTAATAGGTTAACTAAAGTTTAAAAATGGGCTATGTCGGCTTAGCCCGGAGAGACAAATCAATCTCAGTTTCTGCAGCTAAATATGGCCGTTATTCTACCTGATATTTTCTATCTTCAGGATTGTCCGGTAGTGCTGTAGAGATTTCCTGTTGTTCAAAAATATACTTCTCTTCCATTTACCACATTTCTTCGTAGCTGGTTAACGATTGTGCAGTGGGTTGTCTGCAATAATGCCAGTAACATTTCAAGACACAAATACGGATAACCACTATATTTTAGTAAATCGATAACTAAGTTTTTTTGCAGGCTAACTTAAAAGTCTTCGGTCGCGAGACGCCATGGTCCGCCTAAGAATGAAACTAACCACCGCTGAATAACGACCGTAACCAAGATCTCAGAAATGATTGATTTTTTTTAAGTAACGAAATAACAGTAATTCTTACGATAACATTAACACGAAATCGCTCAGACATTTTATTACACCGACAGCTTATTAAACAGGCATATTGGCAGGCGGCTATGTTATCGCACTGGCCTTTTAAAGGGACCGCATAGAAAATGACACCAACAGCGCTGTTTTAGACACTTTATATACCACCGTAGGAGAACGACACAAGTACTAAAATGCTTTTTTGTACTTTATGATCTTTGACAACACTTGGTGTAAGTGATGACGACGCTGTTTCTATATTTTAATAGACTTCTGTAAGTATATATATATATATATACGCGAGGTTGTATATATATATATATATATATATAAATGACTAAAATCCTTTAATGTAATACAAAGAGATGAAGCAAAATGGATACCAAGCAAAGTGTGTGATCTGGTAGTGAATATATCACCAGTACAACCCCTTACATAATGACACAATGCATTACACCTCAAACCAGCCCTCAGGACAAATTTATTTCTAAGAAAATGAGCATGTTGCGGAGTGTGCCTTGCAGCATGCTGTCACGTTCTTGACATGCTCGCCAGGCTGTTCTTCCCACTGGTCTTCAGCAATGCCTTACTGGTGCTTTTAAAAGACGTCACTTTCCCTCCCCGGATGGCTGCGCCAGTCTGATTTGAGCTCAGGTCCACCGAACGCGTCACTCTTTTCTCCACATCAGATTTCTGCACCATGAATTCCTGTGAGCAGATGTTTGACAAAATAGGTCATGGTTGGTCTATCTGATCATTTTCTTTTAAAGTTGCAGGTAGTCTTTCAATGCAATAATGCCCACAACTATCATAAGGGGGCGCTGTGTGGTTCAGTGGGTTGGGACAGTGTTCCTGTAACTGGACGGTCACTGGTTTAGGGTCAGCAGAATGATGTCACTGTTGGGCCCATGAGTAAGGTCCTTTACTCCCAGTTGCTCCAGTATTTTGCTTTGGACTAAAGTGTTTCCTAAATTAATGTTAATGTAAATTTTGTGTCAAAAGAACCAGAACAATTAAATAGATTCATTCATTCATTCATTCATTCACCTTGATCATATCCATCGTGGTTAAAAGATCCAAGTTCTCCAATGGCCCATAATGCTGTAAATGGCACTGCTCTCCCAGGTTCCTGATTGCTATCAGAAGACTCCCCACCTCCTCAACCTAGCAGGAGACCAGTAAAAACTTCAACATAAATAAGAACCCAGAGTAGTATAGTGTAGGGATTTCACAGTTACATTTACAGGGTTCACTGTGTGCTGACCCATTCCCTCGACTGGTCCTGACGCATCTGCAGGTTCATCTCCAGCTGTTTGGTCCTCTCCTTGGCCTTGTCCCATTCAGCCTGTAGCTCAGACAGCTTTCTGTTGGTCATCTGCAAGATCAGCAGAACAACTGACATCATCTCTTAATGCAACCTCAGCAATGAGAACGATCATGCTGGTTGCCTACTCAGGGTAAGTCCAATGAAGCTTGTATTTGCCCCTGTATGGTAAATTTATTGGCGGTCAAAAGGTTCATAGCTTGTTCGTAGTATGTTATGCCTTTTATGTTGGCACAGATGCATTTATTCTCTACACACAGAAGCTGATGATCGTGCATTAATATAGGGGGAGAAAGGATTGTTGGCGTGAGGCTGACCAGCCTGCTGATGTTATGGTCCCGCCTGAGGGCCTCCAGGCCATGCTGGCTGTGCTCCAGCCTCTCCGTCATTACTCCGAGGTGCTCCAGCAGGTCACTGCGTGTCAGGGACAGCGTCTCGTGCCGCCGGATGATTGGAGTGATCGGCGAGTCTGTACTATACTCCAAGGAGTCTGCGCAAATAGGTGGAAGCAGCAAGCGGCGTCCATTTAACAAACTATTCGCTGTCATACACCTACTGCTTGGTTACTCCACTGATGTACCACGGACTGCCGAAGAGACTTACTTTCAGGAAGTTGGTCTAAAACCTTGAGTAAATAATCTTCATGAATCTTATGTTTGGCCACCATTTCCTTTAAGTGCTGCTGCCTGCAGGAGTTGATAAAATGAAGACGTAAGAAGTTTTGCCGTTTTAAAAAGTATCGTGGTCCATTAGGTAGCAAAGCATTGTGGGTAATGGGTTTCATCGACTACTACGTTTCTGCATTCGTAGCCTGATAAAGGCAGACCGTTATACAGGTGACGTCTGAACATATTCCCCTTCTTCTGCACCTGGCCTCCAGCACCAGCAGCTGCTGTGTCAGCTCCTCCCACTCCTTCTCCTTCAGCTCATTCTGCTTCTTCTCCACCTGGTACTTCCTCAAGGCCCTCTGCCGTTTGGCCTTGTTGTCCTGGACAAACTTCTCAAACTTCGCTGCCCGATCTCTGTTCTGTACAGAAGTGAATGGACAGTGTTCAGACCTGATAGGGAAGCAGTCAGGATGTTCACTGCTGACATTATTCTGAGTCGGTGACATCATTCTGAGTCTTTTTGGCCTCCTGACCAGTGGATGGAGACTCACCTCCTGCTGCTGGAGCTCCAGTTCAGCCCGACGGCGTCCGAGGGCCTGCATGCGCTGCCAGAACTCCTGGCGTTTCAGGGCCAGCTGTGCATCCACCTTGTCTGCCTCCACCTGCTTCCTCAGCACAAGGGTCCTCTGCAGCGTGTTCACACCTGTTTCCAGGAGCCTGCCAGGACTCTAATAACACAGCAGCAGTGCCCATGAAAGACTGAGTGCCTGCTGTGATGTGGGTATGATAGGTGCCACTACTGCCATTATATGAGAAGCAGCCTTTGAGAAATATTGCATTATCCTAACTATGGTTCCTTACAGAAGAGCATGCAGTGCCCTTGATTACCTGGTACACTGTAAGGTATGGCCAATTCAGACATTTTGCAAGATAGAAACGTGATACATCATAGTTAATTGATCACAGATTAAGTCATCATTTTACAGCACAAGCCAATGTGACTGTCTGATATTTCTACAACAGTGTTTAAATTATAAAGTTTGAAAATTCTTACCTCTGTGATAATTGGGATATGATTGATATTTTCATTTTCTTCACCCCTGTATCAGGAACGAAAACATTCCTAAGTTTTATTTTGAATAACAAGGGCACATTGATTAACTGCAGAAGGGTTACAGATAAGTCTTAGATGTGCAACAACGCGTGTGCAGTGTAACACGCTTAGTAAGTTTTATAGTTAGACGCTTTATAAATATCGTATATACGTGCAAAGATAGCGGGAGAAAGAAGAAAAACGTTAACAATTCATACCTGGTCTCTTCAATCTGCGTCACAAATATATTTCTCATTCTGTTTTCCACTTTAAGCTGTAAACGTGGATCGTCTTTGTTTAAGCCTATATGGGGTAAGGATAGGGCTTCCATTTTCCCTCTTTTTGTTGCGGATAAATCTGCCGTTACAGCTAAAGGCAGCTCTTTGGCCTTGTTATAAATATTAAAATGGTCGCCCTTGTTCAGAGGTGCTGTCCGGACGAGCCCGAACGCGACATTCCTTTTTCCCCAGCCCCCGTGTTTACCCGCTTGCCTGCGCTTTCTTCTGTAACCTGTTGCCGGGGAACCAGCAGAGGGAAGGAAGGTATGCGTGGGGGGGGGGGGGACGTTTCCCCGTCACCATAGCAACTGCCCCGGAGGCGCTATATTTCATAGGAAACAAACGCAAAGTACTTCCCCGCAGAGCAGACAGATAGACGAGCGGGGACCTTTGTTTAGACTGCATTTGCACCGGGCATCACAGCCAGATAGCAGAAATGGATATGATTAAATTTCATTCAGCTAGATGTAACTACACAATACCATATAAGGTATTCAAATGTTAAAAAGGAGACATAACATTAACATTGTGTCTGTGCTATTTGTCTCACTTGCACATCGATTCGGACAAAAACATTTGCTAAATAAATAAATGTAACTATTTAGTAACTAATTTTATTACAACAACTATTGCATGACTGGAAAATAAACTGCATTTTGAACTAGTGCAATAACTATTTGTCCTTCCTATATTCTCTTATGAAAATACCATAAAACTGACTTTAGTCAAGTTGGTATACATTACATATTATTGTAAAACGTGCCAAGAGGAGTATGCAGGAAAGGCTTAAGTAATGTTACTGGATCCAAGATCAAAGCCAGACAGTGGTTCAAAATAAATGTTAAAAATAGGACCTGCCTTATATATATATAGTACCATGTGATTCCAGCAGAAAAAAAGTCACTAGCTCCAGAAGGCCTCTAAGGGCCGTCCAGAAGCATAGTAGAGACCTTGCTGGAGTAAACAAAGCTGAAGACTTCTTAAAAAGTCACCGGTGACAAAAACAAATAATTTTTCAAGAAAAGGTAGGCTTGGATCTTTTTTGTTTGGCTAGTTATAGTTAAAATGGATTTCACAGCACTGTTCCAGTCATTTGTCTAACACATCCAGGGAAATGATCTATGTACTGTATTTAAACCCTTCTGAAATTTCTTACACAGAATCTGACCACAATGAAAATTCTTTCCATTCAATACACATTAATTGGAAGTAGGTTGCACTAAAATGGTACATGTATGCGTGCATTGTATTCTGGGGCTAGTTTGTGGTGTGTTGTTAGGACACTGTGCCTGATCAGCAGAGTGATTAATTGGTCCTTGAGTAAGGCTCTTAACCTCAGTTGCTCGAGGGACTAGCTGACCCCACCATGTTAATAATACATCACTTTAGGTAAAAGTGCCTGCTAAATAAATATATGTACAGCCGACCAATCCACATTGTGGGCATTAGGGGTGCAGGGCCCCCCGCAATCTGGAAAAAACACATAAAATGTTTCGGTGCACTTGGCGAGCAAGGATTGAAACCGGTCAAAAAGGTACGAGAAAGGCGAGGTATGAAGATATCTACGAGATCACTGCAAGATATCAGGTGAGAAGCTGCTGTAAACGCGCTTGGTGCCCTCCAAACCAGCACCATATATATATATATATTACGCATTTAAGAGTTACTTGACTTTTTGTGTGTGATCTGCTTTCGCAAAACTCCCAAAAAAATCCAGATTAATTCCTTACGATGACCCCACGATATATCGAAACCGCGATGGGGAAAGTCGTTAATCAGAAGGATCCACTGTACATGCATGCATTCAGCTCTTTGCCATAACATCTGTCCTGTGTTTTCAGGGCATAGATACTCCTGGTGATTTGTAGCAGCTGCTGCATGCCATTGATGGGGGTTGTTCATTATAAACTATGACAGAATGTGTCATATTAATTAAGATTAGTCGGACATGTATAAATCACTCAGTGCAGTTCTGTTGTTCTTGGGAAGTATTTTGCCACAGGTCTTATCTTGTCAACAGGAAATGACAATTACGATTTGTGCATCTGCCAAAACTAACTTGGATTAAAAACCCTTGATTGACACGAATCAGGCCCTTTTACTGTCAATATTTACAAAGAAAATAATGTCTTAAGAGAATTACAAGAGAATAGAAAGGGATAAACATAGAAAATGGAAAGAGAAAAGTCAGCGGTGTTTATGGCTATTGATAAAAAGGGGGCTAAGTCAAGTTTACCTGGGGTTTGACTTTTTTTTGAAGGAAGACTGGCATCGGAGGTAAAATACTTGGGGCCAGGCTTACAATACTCTGGGCTATAGCACCGGATAACGGGACCTAGCGATGCCCATGAGGTGTGGTGGAAAACACATACTTGAGCATGTACAATCCAGCTTAAAGGGCTACAGCATATTTGATCAAAGAACAACAGACAGACACTGAAATTATGAAACTGATTTCATATTACTTTAAATTACATGTTCATTTTTTCAATAGTGATAGGATCACAAAATTTCCTGCATGATAGTTAAAAGCTTTCACATAAACAATTACGCAGCCAAATATTGAACAAAGCAGCACTCCCAGTGTACAGTGTGACAGGCATAAAATTGAGTGCCAGCAGGCGTAATTCAAGCTTCATCCTCCGGAGGGCCACATCCCCCAGTCAGGCTGAGATGAGGGGCTGCTGCGGTCAAGCCACAGGATGTCCAAAGACAGACATGACCACATCATCTCCAGATGCAGCTGCGCTTTAAGGAGCGGCTACACGTGCTTTGATTTACTGCTTTATGTATGGTATACCGCTACGTGTGTTTGTGTGAGTACAAGTTCTGAAAGCTTTCAGTACATAAACAAAAAAAATCATTATGGGAAAGTATCCCCACAAATGGATAGTATCAGCTGAGAACCAGATGTTGAAGAGTCTCCAGAAAGCAAATGTTATTGTTTGTTTAGTGTGAGCGACAGCAGCTGTGATTTTGCCAATTGCTAATGGCTAACTGACTGGCCAGGCCTGTTATGGAGCGACAGTCCCCACCCCTGCTATAGCGCTGCCTTTGGATCATTCCGGACTACCTGGGATGCTCTTCAGCCAAAGTGAGGACCTGAGCCGTAGACACAGCACACACCACCATCGCCCCCACCCCATGCAGGCTGGCGGGGTCCCCTTGTTAAACAACAGGACCAACATCTCTTCCAGGTAAGCTCATCTGTGCTTTTCAAGGGACTAAGAAATATATGTAAACTTTGTTGTAACTCCATTAATGTAACCTTCACCAGCATCTACACACATTTTCATATTTATAACTAATCAAGTGAATTTTTGGCATTAACAAAAACACCACAGCACTTTTCCTTTTAAACGCCATTACCGACATTCAACCTATTGTGACAACTCATAGGGTTCAAGTTTTATTGTCACGTGTTCTGAGGAAATATGAAATTCTTGGGCGGGGGAGGGGACAGGTGCACGTGAGGACAGTAGGACAAACAGCAGTGCAATAAAAGACAAGACAGCGCATGACAAAAGCAGTGCAATACAAGAAAACACCGAAAAGGCGAGTGCGACTCATAGTGTGTCGCCGCGGGAGTGCGCCATCTTCATGGTTAATTATAAGGGTATAGCAGTAACTGTGATGGTAACACTTTACTTGACAGGGCACAAATAGTATTATATTATTACTTCCGTATTAAATAACCACAAACTAAGTCTTAGTTACATACTGATCTCATGTTAATTCATCATAAATGAATCGCTACATCTGTTTATTCTGTAAACCTTTGTGAACTACAGAAGGAACTATTATTTAATATAGTACAGCTAATAAAAGAAGCGCATTATCAATCTGAAGGACTTAGTGCTGCTGTCCTATGGCAGATAATAGAACACGGTCCAGGAAGTAACCTCCTACATATATAGACAGTTGACGAAAAGATGATAACGGTGATAGATTTCAGGATGTACTTCAACTGTGAAGGGACACATTAAACAAGTGCGTAATATTTCCACTGGGTCTGCAGCTTCTCTCTGGCGACAGCTAACACTGAATTGGACGATCACCAGGCTGCCCCGTCAGACCTATAGAGGAGCAGTTGTGTTTAATCACTGACAGCTGACTTAGACTTGACAGACTGGTGTGACTGCTACAGACCATAGAATCGCAGGGATGTGCACCTGTCGTAAAAATGATACAAAACAAACGGTATGTTTTGTATTTCCAAAAAAAAAAAAAAAAAAAACCGTGTTCAAAAGCAAAATAAATGCGGACAATTTTTATTAAAAGTTTACTTTTGCATTATATTTCATTCATATGTTTTATATTTTCACGTGTGCCTGCCTTTGTCCAGAGATCTTCTGCCGATTTAGCTTTCTCGGCTTTGGAATTCTGAAGAATGACTGAGGCTTTCCGTGGAAGTACTTACGGGCACAGAACATGCAAATAACCAAACATACCGGTTATTCCGACTGCAAGGTCCACCCGTGTTTGCGCAATGTCACGCAAAACGACCGTCCACTGAAACAAGCACGCAAAATAAGACGAAAGGACTCCTAACGTCCCAGTGAAATTTGGCATTATCTGGCTCGCCGCGGCTGTCGGCTTCGCCCCGTCTTATATGGTCATTCAGCTGTCTCCCCCTACCCCCCTCCGCATATCAAAAGAGACCCAAAATAGTCGCCGATCGCGCAGCTGGAACCCTGTTGTCATCCCCCAGCAGTAAAGCTCCGCACGCCGGCGGCAGGTCGCACGGAAGCTCCGACGATGACACGGTTTAGTTACGCCGAGTATCTCTCGTTATTTCGCTCCAGCGGGAAGAGGAGCGACAGCGGCGACGCAGAAGGTGCAGTGAGGAGCTACTCCTTTGTTACCGGCTACGGGAAGCGATGCATTGCATGGAAGCGTCCGGATGGGAGCCTCTTCGTCACTCCGGAACCCGAGGAGTGAGTGTCCTTATTTACCCCGCTTTGTGTTATTGCGTGGGTCACTTGATATATGGGGCATCTTCTTGTATAGTGAAGATACACGCGCAGACGTTTGTATTATCAGTGTATCACATACTAACGAACAGTTTACTAAAGTATGAACTAAAAATGTATGTATGCCTTATATCTGTAGAGAGTTTTGTTCTTGACGTTTGTGTATGTGTGTGTGGGTCATGTGTATATTACATTGTGGGGACCAGATGTTCCCACAATGTGATTTAAAACATGTTATTTTGACTTTGTGGGGACTGAAAAAATGGGAAACTTAATTTTATAAAAATCTGTGACTGCAATCAAAAAAACTAAAAATGCCAAATGTCTTGTATTTTGTTCAGTTACTTATGGTTAAGGTTAGGACTGGGTAGGGGTTACAGTTGTTATGTTGGGATTGGAGTTTTCCCCATAGAAATGAAGGGAAAGTGTGTGTGTGTGTGTGTGTGTGTGTGTGCGTGTGTGTGTAATTCTACCTGCCCACTAACCCATCAGCCCATACACAGTTATCCCATCTGTATGGCATTTGTTTGGTATTTGTATGTCAATTGATGAATTGAACAGACAGGAATCGATTCATCGAGGTGTGTCTGTATACTTGTTAGAAGAATAACATTATCCACCTGGCATCTGGCTGATTAAGTACAATGTACAGAAGCCATAAAACTGGTTTTTAGGTATTTATTTTCAGACCTGCCTGCGACATCCTGCACAATGTCTATGCTAATTGACGTGACGGAATATCATCATTGGATTGTGTTGTTTTACCAACACACTGTACTGTCATATCAATAATAAATCACAAGCTTTCTCTCAAACTCTTGTCTGGATCTGGAGTTTTACACTGAGGAACCTGGTCTGAGGACCTGAGAGCATTTTAATGGAGTACGACAGATGGGAAGGCAGATGACATCATCAGAGTTAGCGCCGTATCCCACGGATCATGCAGGCACATGCGGAAATGCCCAGGCACAAATCTGTGCGGAAGACAGATGACGGTTGTCACGTTTACGTCTTTAAGGGCTGTGGACCCGGTTGTCATGGCGATCAAGGACGGCGATGTAAAAGAGGTGCGGAGGCTCATCGTTTCGTCCCCGAAAAGCCTCACAGAGGCCAACAGGGAGGGCTGGCTGCCTCTGCACGAGGCGGCGTATCACGGGCAGACAGACTGCATCCTGGTCCTGCTAAAGGGTGAGCGGTCATGTCATCCCACAACACGCATCAACACATCGACCCTTTGTCCTCTGACACCCTCACATACCCTGAAAACCCTCTCTTACCCCCTCTGTGGGTGGCATGGTTCAGTGCTGATCCTTATGCCAGCAGTGAGCATCAGTGTAGCATTAATACTGATTACATCTGTGTCCCCCTCGCTTTGCCGTGTCCCCCTTATGTTTCACTTTTCTTGTCCCTCCTCTCCGTTCGTCAGCCCGGCCGGAACTGATCGACAAGCGCACCCTCCAGGAACAGACGCCGCTCTTCTTGGCGGTGGCTGGCGATCATGTGACCTGTGTGCAACGGCTGCTGGAGCGCGGCGCAGACCCCGATATCAGTAACAAAAACAAAGAGACCCCTCTTTACAAAGGTTAGCGTGCTGATGCCTGCAGCTCTCGCAGCTGTCGGCTTGATCCGGTTAAATCCCACCTGCCACAGCAGGAGTCTGACACCTTTAATGGAGGTTCCTCTGCGTACGCAGCTTGACCGTGAGATGAGGCTCACATGTGTTTGAGTTTGGAACCCCCGCCCCCCATTTATCAAGTGTAACAAACCTCTGTGCCCCCTCCCCTAAGCCTGCGAGCGTGAGAATGCCAAAGTTGTGGACCTCCTCCTGAGGTTCGGTGGAGGAGTGAACCAGCGTTGCAGCCAGGGATGGACAGCTCTCCACGAGGCGACCTGTCGCAACAGCGTCGACATATGCCGGATCCTGTTGCAGGCCGGGGCCAAGGTGGGCGCCACCAACACGTATGGGGTCACGCCTCTTTTCCTGGCGGCTCAGGGCGGGCGGCTGGAGGCCCTGGAGTTCCTCATCCACAATGGTGAGTTCCAACAGCTTCCCGTACTTCAGGGGCTCCACTTTGGTCATTCTTTATGACTTCACGTTGGGTGTAGTGGAAAAAATCTTTGGGATATTAAATGTGAGAAATTAAGTCTGGATATATGTAGAACCCCAATGACAACTGGAGGTGAACGCTACAAGGAACACTTGCTTTGAATGTTTATACAATTCAAGACACACAACTCTCAGGGTCTGTTATCACTTTGGTGCACATTTGGCAGTTGCAGATACTCCCTTTGCCGTGGCTCCCCTTTATGCCTCAGGAGGAGCTCAGATTGCGCCTGGTAACCACACTGGCCACTGGTTTTACCTTCAGTGATCAAAGCTTTGCTCTTATCTTAGTCTGCCTGACCCTATTTCACACGGCCTCCTCTCGCAACAGTTACTTTCAAGCCATTGATGACACACACAACGGTCAACGGTTTATCAATTCACGTGGGTCTCTTCTGGATCTCACTTCCTGTTCAATAGCTAATCAGCCCAAGAGTCTCGTAACCCATACGGGTGGTACTAGTGTTAGTAACTTCCATGTTGTATTGTTAGCCTGTCAGCCAGATGGTGCAAGAGTTGTTCAGTTGGAGCTGAGAGTGTGTGAATCATTGTAGATTGTAGTTTGGGGATGCGATGGAACCATGTGGGACAGCCACACCAAGCTATGGCCACATTCCCCGAGTGGCCTGAGGGTTTAATACAATGTTTTCCAACCCGATCCTGGGGGACCAAAAAACGGTCCGTGTTTTTGCTCCCACCCAACTCCCTGCCAGACAGTCCATATTTTTCCAGGAGCAAAAGTCTGGATTATAGTCTGGAGACTGGATTATAGTCTGGAGACGTCTGGGTTAGTTGATCACCTCTGCCGTATATGGCCCCGCAGGTGCTGACATTAACAGCCAGGCGGGAGACGGGGCCTCAGCGCTGTACGAGGCCTGCAGGAATGGCCACGTGGATATCGTGGAGCTCCTGCTGTCCCGCAATGCGGACGCCAACCGGCCAGCCAAGGCGGGGCTGCTGCCGCTGCACGTGGCAGCCCAGCGGGGGCATTATGAGTAAGTGTGACCACGTCCAGACACACTGAGCTCATGGGCTTCAGCACCGGGGACAAGTGAGATCTGGGAATGCTATGTTGGTATTTAAACTTACATCTTACATCCCTTTCATTTAGCCTTCAAGTCGTCTTCTGACTGCTTAACCAGTATAGGGTTCGTTAGACATTTTTCACTATAAATTATTGTGGGCCAAAACTCAAAATTCTATGGCATGTAATTGTACGTAAGTTCTGGAAGAGTGATAATACAGAATGTTACTGCAAATAAGGCTTACAAAGCCAGTACATATTTTTTATGTACATAACACCAATACAGGTGCATATAAGCCCTGAGAAAATGTTTCTAAAGTGTGTACAAATGTTTGTAAGACAAAAATCATATTTGTATCAATATCGTAGCCTAGCAACGGTAACATAACTGATAAAATGTTAAATATGAATGGTATATACAGAAAATTAACCTATATATTAATATGCTATTTTATAATAGCATTACAAATTTTCAGTCACTGAGTAATGCTCAATATATGGTTGATGGGAATATACTCTAAACCAGTGTTTCCCAATTCGGTCCTCGGGGACCCACAGTAGAGAGCTGGGAGGGAGCAAAAACGTGGACTGTCTGTGTATCCTGGAGGACCGGATTGGGAAACACTGCTCTAAACACCTATTGTATCTGTTAGTCCTACTCCAGGGGGTCGTTCGCTGATCTTACTTGTATCATTTTTCTAATCACATTTCCTGTGTCCCTCCCCCCCCGCCCCGGCGCAGGATCGTGTCCCTGCTGATCCCGGTCACCAGCCGGACCAGCGTGCGAAGCTGTGGTATCAGCCCGCTCCACCTGGCGGCCGAGCACAACCAGGACGAGGCTCTGGAGGTGCTCATCGAGTGCGGCTTCGACGTCAACGCCACGCTGTCCGGGGACCACTCCGGCAAGTACGAGGACCGCCGCTCCACGCCACTCTACTTCGCCGTGGCCAACGGCAACACGGAGGCGGCCGCGATGCTGCTGGAGGCCGGCGCCGACCCCAACCTGGACGCCTTCAGCCCACTGCTATTGGCCGCCAGGCAGGGCTGCGTCGAGACACTTGGCCTGCTATTGGAGCACGGCGCGGACCCCGACGTCCGCATCCCCACCCACCCCACAGCTTTCCCAGCCGCCGCAGTCTTCTGCATGAACCAGCCCTCCCTGCTCAGAGTCCTCCTGGATGGCGGCTGCGACGCCCAGGCCTTCTTCAGCTGCGAGTACGGCAGCGACCCACACCCTCCCCTCAAGACCAGTGGCATCAGCAGCGGCTTCAACAGCAGGACCCTGCGCTTCAGCACCGCGGTCTTCCCCGTCAGTTCCGAGGAGGCCCCCACGGTCCCCTTGCAGGTAGCCGCCAACATCGATGGCAGCCAGCCTTGGACTGGAGTTGCTCCCCTTGTGTCCTGACTCACCTCCCAATTCTCCTCTTGCTCCATCGCCTGCCAGTTCTGCGAGGCGATCTCCTCTCCTGCCGTGAGCCGCTGGGCAGGGCCCATCGTCGACCTGCTGCTGGACTACGTGGGCAGCGTGCGGCTGTGCTCCCGGCTCCTCGAGCACCTGGACAGCTTCGAGGGCTGGGCCACCATCAAGGACAAGTCAGGTGAGTGCACCGGGTACCGGGACCGAACCAAACACACGGTCAGTGTTTTCTTTGCATTTTTCTATTAGATAACATCTCAGTTTTAGAAGAATCCAGTAGCGTGTTGATGGGCTAATTCAAGGCATTGATTTGGGTTTGGACAGTAATCACGTCCCAACCAATAGTGTGGAAGTACTGTGTGTTTAGCGGGGTGAGCGGGCAAGGGGCTGATTTGGTCCCTATTGATTCTGAATCCAAACCTACACCCTTAGGCTTGTCGCTACCGCATCACCAGCCCGATTTGTACCTTGCACATCTGCGTGTGCAGGATTTTCGAGCGCGTGTATACTGTATTACATTTTCTGGCACTGCTTAATCTGTTCATCCTGCCATTCTATGTTAACCATATTGTCTAAGTTTATGGGAAACTACAGTAGTGGCTTCATTGTTTAGCGAGAACTGGTATTAATGATTCCGCTGACTGAAAAAAATAGGTTTTACTTGCTTGTCATTTTAAGTCAGAACTAACTCCAGTCATATATTTCCAGTTTTTGGATCAACACTATTGCCTAAATATCTCATATCAAATATCTCTGAAATGTTAGTTTATATTACCAGGTGAAATCACTGTTAACCAGCGACATGGTATTTTGGTATGCTTGTAGCTTTGGTTCATTCTGAACCGAAATAAGAAGTTTGACGTATTTTGTATCTATTTCAGCCATAGTTACATCACTCAAAATTAGTGGGATCAAAAAAAAAAACGGAAAAAATTAAAAACATACATTTCTCTCGTTGTTCGTCCTGTTGGCATAATCTACTGACTTTGCTGCATAATAGTAGCAGTTGTCTGGGACATAAACGGTGACTCAGCCCTGACTGGGGTTCCTAACGAGACCCATAAACATGCACTAAGACACAGGTGCAGGTGCTGTGCAGGATTTTTATTAACCAGACAGAGAACATAAAGAATGAAAATCGGAATATCTGGCTGAATGTCCCTTTCTGATCGCTCACAAGCCGTCCGTAAAATGAACCTCATGTAGTAAAAATGAATAATAATAGGATCTAGTTGCGTTGTGAAAATGTCATGAGACAAAGTGGTACAAATCAGGCACCACCATACAATATGGCGTAAAGTGTAATGCTGCACATATGCGGTATATGCAAGGTACGAATCGGGCAGGTGGTGCAGATCATGTCGTGACGGAGCTAATTGATCATGAATTGCTGTTAATTGCTTAACTGAGTTCTCAAAGCAGAAACCTGATGTGATTTTCCCATCCCCTTCATTGTGTTTACAGCATCTCCCCGCCCACTAATGCACCTATGCAGACAAAGAATTCGTGAGCAGGTGGGAGGGCGGGGGTTGAGGCGCCTGGCCACTCTGCCCCTCCCTGGAAGACTGCTCAAATACCTGAACAACAAACATTCTGAGGATGGCTGCTGACAGCTGGCTGGCAAGAATGGATGCTGAGCTTACAAACAGGCCTTCTGTGGATACTAATCAGACAACTAAGTGGAAGGACACTTAGTGGAAGGACACCAGTAGTGCCTGATTTAGAAACAAAACAATCAGAGAATATTTAATATTCAGTTTGGAGGCCTTCATTTACTGTACAACCCCTTATATGTGTCCCTGCTCTGTATGTATCTACTCTTTGATTGGCTGCTGGATTCAACTAGTTTTAAAGGAAGATGTGTTGAGCTATGCAGGTCAGGATGCTTCACAGATTAAACTAGACTCTGCGTCCGAGAAGCCAGCGTGTCCTGACCGATATAGATCCTGGAGAGCCCTTGAATCTTGCGGTGTATAACGGTAGGCGTGCAGCTGAAGTGGTTTGTGTTTAACTGTCTACCACACGCCGGCAGCTTAACACGCATCGCTGTCTCGAGATTTTTCACTGTTCGTTCGCTGCGTGAATATTTCGTGATCTTGTGAATTGTAGGTGGTACTGTATTTAATTAGAATGGAACGACTGATTTCCAAAAAGCTGCAAACTGCATGAAGTTGCCTTATTTATAATGCGTGAAAATAATGTCAGATGTGAGTGTGATGTCGTCGTTTTGCACCACGAGTTTGTTTTACACGTTGAACATTTGTTTCGAATAAAACTGCTTTCAGTTATACTAATCAGTATTATGTAAGAAAGTCCATTTTATACCAAAAAGTAAATCAAATTCTGCAGTTTTTAAACGGGTTCTAAACATTTTGGAATTGCAGCGCGTTGTACTTTGGTGCCTGCTGAAAAAATGTGTTTGAATATAGTGAACATACGCATTTATAGGAAATTGAAATGAATGTCAATGTTTTTGCACGGTGTTTTCTTTTTGCTTGTTGTATTAATGTTTACGTTTCCACGTTTTTACACTGACCATGTTATAACGTGAATTGCCACATATTTAAGGTGTGCTTTAGGGATCCTGTTGTGTGGTGTTGACCAAAACAGAACATAGCTGAAAATGTGAATCTTTTACTCTTTATTTAAAAACGTGAGTTCCTTGAATCATATCAAATATATTACAAATAGTAACGGAAAGGAACTTCAGACAAAACTGAGATCTTCTCAGATTTAAATGTGATAAAATCGGAATGTATTTTATTCAGTACGAGCCCTGAAATGTAATAAATTTACCATTAATTTGAAATCAGTTGTACGCAGGTCCTTCTTTATAATACGGATTTGTTTGGTTTTCCAACACAATTTAATCTTACAAGGTGTCATACATTATTGCTAAAACAAGTTCTTTTGGCATTTTCCATGACACAGATTTAATAAGTTTTACACATACCCTTATGCTGATAAAGCTTTGACGTACAAATGAATACACAATTTGTTACATCAGAAACTGACATTCTCAAAATATAGGCTATAGCATGTTTATAATTAATCCTCTATGTGTTGTACCCTATTACGTTATACTATACAGCTGCCTTGGTAATCGCGGAAGAAGAAAATTTAAATTATTTTCACATCTTCATGAATTCATTCAGTGTTTGTTAATTTGACGTAAGTGCTTCAGATCCCATAGGCCTATACACAGTTAACAAACAAAACTTTAGCCCGTTGTTAGAAAAATAGCCTTACTGTTGGAAAAATAAACATTTTCAATGGTTTTAATTAGAGCCTGCAATAAATAGATTGATCGGGGAATTTTAACCAAATATCACAAAATATCTAACAGTTATTTACATTGTGCTTGTTTCATAGTTGCTGGTCATGGTCTAAAAGACGAGATGACCGTCAGATAAATCCAAATACACTGAAAATAGGAGATGGTACCGACGGTTTTGTGGGGATGGGCTTCACTACGACGTGAGTTTGACTTTTCTGTCCATTTTGGATGTCTGACGTCTCCGCATGGACAACCGTGGTATTCCCCCATAATCCCACCTCCGAGAAGCTTGAGTGGGGAAGGACTATATGGCCTTGGAAGACGTGGTGTCCATGGTACTGAAAAGGACAGCAGCCGCACACGTTCACGCTTCCTGGGGTGATGTCCAGCATTAGCGGCTCTTTCTCGGCTGCGATCTGCTCACTCGAGAGTATTAAATGAGCTTTTCTCTCGTCCGAAGATTTCTTCTTTTTCTCCTCCTCCGGAGCTGAAGGCCCGCTGATTCCGGCGTCTCCAGGGCTCTTCCTCCAGGAGACTGGGAAAGCATCTCGCTTGCTCCTGGAGGAACTGGGCTCCTCCCAGAAAGACGCGGGGAGCTGCCGTTTCCTCATGGGCACTTGGTCTTGCCTGTGAGGATCGCGCTCCGCTTTGGGCTTCGCATTCAGCCCGGAATTGTCCTCGCTTCGCACTTCCGATCCGCTCCTGTCTTTCAATCGGGAAAGCTGGAGGTTACGATTTGCTGGTTCAAATGCGAACACTGCAGATTTGTCTTCAAGGGTTTTGGGGACTCCGCATTCACCCGCCCTGTACGCATGGCACCTGGAGGGCATCCTGGAGCACTTCTGAGAGAAGCGTTTCAGTTGTTTCTGTAGGTACTTCCTGTGGTCCACCGAGCGCCTGCACGGGGCGGACTTGTCAAGGGCAGCCTTTATATCGCTGGATGCCAAGTTGACAAAATTCAGCAATGTTTTTACTTCACTGTCCGCGCTGGCCATGATTTCATTATTAGATTTATGGATTCGGTTAATCCATACTATCGGTGCAAGTTACGGATTTCTTTGCCGTCATCATAACCTAAAAAAATATAAAATTCTCGCATCATTCACAACGCAAAGATTGGGAGCGTCACGTTTTCACACCGATAACCCAAAGCTACTTTGCCCTGTTAACATATCCTGCATGTCACAATCGCTTGAGTAAGAATTTTTTCCCAACTTGCCGTTCTTAAACTTACCGTCCCTCTGAATGGAAGAATCCCGACACAACCTCTCTTCCAAAAATAGTTATACCACTTGAACAAGCTGAATGAATATAAACAGCATGTAGTTGTGGTGCTTTCTTCAAGCCAATCAGCGACCTCTTTCGCGACACAATGCACCCCAATCAGGCACCGAGCTTCCCGGTATCACATTCTTTTCCATTGCAAATTGTTGTCATGGGGACACCCCCCATGAAAAGCGGCTAATAGATGCAATATTTCTTTGCAGCCGTTCCTCTCTGTTCTGTCCCTCACTTTTCGGACCCCTGAACCTCTGTCACGTTTTTTCCTCTCCGACGTCTCAAAAACGTCGTATGCTGACGGTGTGCAAAGACTACTTAAATCTTTTATTCTCGAATATAACTTAAGTCTGTCTGGGGGTTGGCAGTGGGCATGCTTCACCGCCACGAGACAATGCCAGCTTTTAGGGCTCAGTTCGGGCTACTTTTAACTGTTCTGATCTGGAGTTCTTTTCCCCTTCTAAGAGTGATGTCAGAAAAAGTGGGATTTGGAGGGGGGGGGGTGGAATCTAAAGAGATGTGCGCATATCCATGGAAAGGGGGCTTGAACGCTCAAGAATCTTGTCTTTATGTTTGCCCCTTCAATCGAGCCACACAAAGGCTGAATTACTCATTCAAACCTCGCGGGACAAAGGAAAAGGAGCTGGATAGCACTCCTGCATTTGTAGTCAAACATTTAGAGACTTAAATCGAGTCGTCATGAAGGAGAAAGAGTTGGACAAAGCCCATAGAATTGCCATCAGCAAACATTTTCCTGTGTCATATTAGTGAGGTCTCCATGGCTCCTCCTGGCCTGGGGACAATAGCACAAGTTTGCACACTCGAATACTGTCACCCTGCCAACGCCGACAAGGGCCAAAAACAGGACAATCCGCGGAGAAAGCATGGGCTCCGCGGGGAAGGTGGCAATAGAAAAGGGAGAAAGGACTTGTGAAATGCTAATTGAGCTCCATCCCCTTATTGAGAAAAAAAGGAGTACCAATCACCCCCTCCCCTGAAGCACCTCCTCCCGGCAAGGTGGCACTAAATACGCGCAGACTGTCCCTATAGGTAACGTACAACAGATCACCCCCTGCAGCCTCCGCTGCAAACCGGACCGCAGACCGGGCCGCAAACCGGACCGCAGTCCACCTCGCCGACCCCATCATTTGGTTAAAAGGATTTTTACGATGAACTGTCAAGTTGCATGATCAAGTTTTAAGAGTGAAATACTGTACACGGCCGACTTTAATTTAAGTGCGCACGCGTAATTGAGGGTCTTAGTGACATAAAACAAACACAGATATGTACTGCCTGGTCATGAATTCAGAATTAATTAATCCAATACCCTAAGCGCACATCTAACCCATAGGCCTACCTAACGCAAATTCCTTTATGCCAGATACATTTAAAAAAAAACAGTTTATGAGATACGTCTTATAACAATATGGGATGATATTATTATTATTTCTGTATTCACGTCTGTTTCGTCACAGCAGTTTCTCGGGATGACCGATACAGGACATGTATCTTTTCCTGTGGAAAAGCAGTGTGTCCCATGCATATGGAAACGGAATAAGGGTTTAGAGAATCCTAGTGAGATGGACAGAAATGACACTATCCAATCTCTGAACCCGATACCTATTTGCTTTACTATTTCATAGCTAATTCCATAACAAAAATCTCACCCTTAATAGATGGATTAATATACGTATTTGTTCGAAATGAACTAAATAGGTGAATATAAAAGACCGTCCAAGAGACAAAATTAATATGCGCACAAATGCAAATGGTGCGGAGAAAAAGCAGCAGAATGAGAACTGTAGCGACAATGAGGACATTGGACTCATTTCTGTCCTCCCCACGCTGGCTCCCATAGCAACACCAGATAAATCTGACTGCAGGGCCCTGACACATGAACACATGCGCATGTCCAGATGAGCAGGAGAGCGACCTACTCTGAACACTCTGCCCGACTCACTGTCCCCAAGCCCCCAGCAGCAGCTGCACAGACAGGCCCTTGTTTTGGGGCAGCGATCCTTCTTCGTCAGGCCCGGCCGGTAGCCATCTAAGAGGGTGCTGGAGCCCATTGTTGGTCCCAGTGCTCTATCCTGTCCACCTTGCTGTTCAGCTCAAAAGACCAATTAACAATAGTGACCCCCCCCCCNACATTGATATGCGTGTACTGCTGATGTAACACTGATGTAACGCAGATGCGTGTAACATTGATATGCGTGTACTGCTGATGTAACACTGATGTAACAGGGATGTGTGTAACACTGATATCTGGGTACCACTGATCTAACACTGCGTAACACTGATATATGCGAAACTGATGTGTGTGTAACGCTGTGTAACGCTGAAATGTGTGTGACACTGGTATATGTTTAACACTGATGTGTGTGTAATGCTGATGTAACGCTGTTGTATGTGTAATGCTGATGTGCGTAACACTGGTGTATGTGTAGTGCTGATGTAACACTAATGTGTGTATGCTACTGTGAGTGCTGTTTTACATGTCCTGTTTATTTCATCTAAAAAGGCCTCACAGCTATTGCTGCCACTTGACCTTGATCTGAGCAGCAAAATGCTTCTGAAGGAGTGGTGTGGGTGTTTTTTATGTGTGTGGTAACGGTCGCCGGGGGAGTGGACTGTGTGCCCAGGCTGATTAGAGCCGGCGGCAGATCGCCATTTATCAGCGGGGGGGGGGGGGGGGGGGGGGGGGGGGGGGGGGGGCCCCCCCCCCCCCCCCCCCCCCCGGTGGGGGGTTGCCCCCCCCCCTCCTGGTTTTTGAAGGGGGGGGGGGGGGGGGGGGGGGGAGAGAAAGGGAAGTATTCGGGACTGATAAATCCCCCCACGTCTCGTCGTCACGCCAACTTGAGTAAGACGGATGGGGCGCGGCCTGTTATTTATGTCACTTTAAAGTCGGCCATCTTTAATCAGGAACCCCCCACTCCACTCCCCCCCAGTCACCCACCCCAGATAGCCAGGGAGCGTGAGGGCCTTCTCTCATAGCAGCCGGCAGCAATGGCCTTGCAAGGGAAGGCCAAATTAGTTCAATTAGCAGAATAATTAGCTTCATTCGAGCGCTTAAGTGCCGGAATGGGACAAAAACTGACAGAGAGGCTCGCGGAAGCCGGGCTGAACCCGAGAGCGGCGTGGGGCGACGCGGGCTGCTCCTCCGCCAAGCCTCATCAAACAGACGCGGCGAGCCAGCGGCTGCATGCCGCCTCAGAAAGGACTTGATTAAAAGTGGATGCGGTTCGGGGCCAAAGCAGGTGCAGCCAGTGCCGGCGGGCGTTCTGTTTGTGTTTACCCTTCTTATTAGCGGCTGAACCGCTGCCGCGGGCGGCCGCTGAATGGCCAGCCGCGCACACCAAAGCGCCCGCCACACTTTGAACCGCCGCGTTGTTTACTTTCAAGTGGAGCCGCTGGGAGCGGCGACGTCGGTGCGGGGGGGGGGCACGGCACGTCGCGGTGTCAGAGACTCTCAGGCATCTCGGCCTTCAAGACAGATGGCGGGGCTTTTAGGGAATGAATAGGTGCAGCTGTAAGTGTCACACACACAAACACACACACACACACACACACACACATACACACACACACACACACACACACACATGCACAGCCTGCATGCCTCCCCTACAGGGGTCACAGCGTTCCATCCAGGTGAAATTCAAACTGATCTTGGACATAGAGCTCTGCTAAATATCCCCCATGGATGCTCTGATACAATGAGCTGGCAATTCCCCCCCCCCCCAGGCAGAAGACCAGTGTTTGTTCAGAGTTCATCTAGCCAGCTGAGGGTCAATTTCAAATACACTCCAGTGTCACAGTGTTTGAAGCACTGGGCTCAAGAGTCACATTTCAGGAGGAGAGTTTCTGCTGTGCTCATGAGTTTATACTTAAGCCTAAATAGCTTTGTTACAACTGTATGCTAAATAAACCACTGCAGTTCATAGGGCTTGCAGTGTTAAGTGTAAGAATATGTTTCCCATCAGTGTAGCAGTTTTTATGTAATTCCCTGCACACAATGGTAACAACCTAGAACTGTATTTACAGAAGGAAGACCCGATGCATAACATGACTTTACCTGGCGGTTACGTTTATATTGTGTTACTTGAGTCCATTGGTAGTGTTGGACGATTTTGTAATTTGGGTTGCTATCAGAGAGCTGATGTAGTATACCGTTGTTCCACTAGATGGCAATAGAGCACTTTACTGAATATTTCAAGGCCCTGTAAGAGTTCAGTAAACGAATTTCCTCAGCAGAGCTGGTATTTCAGTGTTTTACTTCGGCTTTAAGAAAAAACTTTGTGCACAGCATTTGTAATTATATGCACACATGGAAGCGGGCATATAGAGTGAGAAATCAGAGCATAAATTCTGGTCAAAGACATTTATTTCTGCTGATCTCACAGAGCCTGACATTTCTCTCTGCATCAGGCACATGAAATGATTTCATTACTAATGATCAGGCTTTTCTTCTGCATATCAGTCTGTAGGTTGTGTTGGAGGGTAAATGGGTTTGAGAGGCTGAATATTTCTCTGCTGCCTTGGCCTGTGGTAACGATGGTTGTGAATATATATGAAGCCTCAGGCAGTCTAGGTCAGACTTTCCCAACTATCACTCTGAAATAGAACAGAAGGTGGAATCCCCCCCCCCCCCCCCCCCACACACACACACACACACAACCACCCCCATCCATTCCCATTGCTGGTATATTTCAAATTGATAGGTGGATTGTGTGCCTGTTTGGCTGACTGAGACTGTCTCCTTCTCTCTGGATAGCTCTGATAAACATTCCCTTTTCCCTTAGCGGGACACTTAGTAAGTAGGTAAGTAAGTAAGTAAGTAAAGTTTACTTATATAGCACTTTTCACAGACACTGGTCACAAGGTGCTTTACAATAGCAAGGTAGGAGGCCCACCTGTCAATCCTGCTGGTTCCGCACCTTCCAATGCACTGCTGGCTCAGACGTGCCTTGCCCCTCCCCAGCCAACATTTGACAATCTTCCAGCTCCACTGAGTCTCACATCTCCTCATAGGGCAGTTTTTAGATACACAAGAAAGCCTGGGTAAGTAGCATCTTTTCAAAGTAAAATATCCTTGCGTTTCAGTTTGCTATTTAAATGACTATGTGCGTTTGGAACAACAATATCGGACACTGTAACCACTGTACTTAAGCAGTATATGACTTACTACTATTATAATCCATTCTACAAGCATGGGCGGTCTGTTAAGAAACAAGTGTGATAGACAAAGTCACACCTCGATAATCCTCCGATGTAGGTAGTGAGGAAGAGTTGGGCTCTGATGGACATGTGTCACTTATAGATGCTGCTGTTCTCCTTGGTTACACGGCAAAGTGCGTAAATAACCAAATGAACTGGAATGGAGTGACCTGGCAAAGGTATCGCCCTGTAATGAGTCAGGAGGAGGGCTGTGTGTCGGGCCCTTTGGACAGGTGACCGTACCCACATCCCCATGCGAGAATGAGGCACAGTGGGAAACGACGTACACAAAGCATGACAGCTCTCGCTAGATTAGGGGAGGTTTGAACACATAAGAAATACTCCATTTTTCTCTAATTTTAGAAAATGCCACCGTACTCAGCTGTCAGAATGCCCCCCCCTGCCCCTGATCCCTCCGGGGGGTGTCGGGAGGGGTACGTTTGTTTAACTCCCCTGACTTATGTCCCAGGGCTGTGTTTAGTTACATTAATTTCCTGGCACAGGCCAGTAGTGTTTCAGTGGGTCACGTAAACAGTCCCCCCGCTTTACCATAAAAGTAGCTGAAGATTAATTGTGCCCTCATGCCCTGTCATTAGCAGGCGCTCTTACCTCATTGGCTGGGCCCCTGAGGATGGGCCAGCATGTGAGGCGATGGCAGATCCTGCTGCCTCCTCTATGTATAATAGCGGCCAGCTCCAGGCGTTTCTGGGAAGTGTCGCACCACTGCGTTCCAGTGTCGCACCAATGCGCTGCTGCACGCTCACGTGTGCTGCCCTGTTCCAGGGATCCTCGATACGGCTTTTCCTGTCACCGGCTCCTGATGGCGAAATTGTGGTGCAGCACGGCCAATTTCCAGTGATTTCTAACCATTTCGTTTGGGGGGTATCATTTCACGTGCGAGGCGGGGTCCTGGAGGTCCACCTCACTGCTGAACAAATTCCAAAAGCAGAAGGGCGCAGAGGGTCCACTTCTGAGTCCATCGTCGGATCCGCCCTGAATGTCGGCCTGCGGTTCTGTAGCCATCACAGGCCCCATTCAAACAGTCCCGAAATCCTCGACGGATGACTGGCCGATTTGCGGCAGCCCCTTTAACATGCCGCCATCTTAGAAAAGTAGAAATGGGAAAAGAGGCACCAACAGCACATAGAAGCCATTCCCACCAGTGGATTTACCTGCCATTATTGCACCAGGTCTGAGACGGACACAGAGCTGGGTCTGTTGTGCGCATGAAGCACAATAAAATCTTGGTGTGCAAATTATATTATTTGGAGGGAAAGTTACTAGCTTGGGTGAGTCAACAGGTGGCGCCACAAAGGCTGGTATGTGTAAGACGGGGTCACGACCCTGTGGGTGCAGAATCCCTGCCTGCCCCCCTGCCTGCCCCCCCCCCCACCTGCCACCAGGGTATCTATGGCGCGGGAGTCGGTCCCGTGATGGATCGTGTTGTGACAGCCGCTTGTTTGCCGGCCGGGGGTTTTAACCACCGTCAGCAGAAACGGGGAGGTGATTTAAGGCTTCTGTCTTGCCCGTGCATCGATTCTGGACGCGGGCTGCTCAGGCGGCCAGCCGAATGGCCCCCGTGGGATGCCTTGTACCCCTGGCAGGATTTATCAGCTCTTCACAGCATACCTGGCCCTGGGGGGGGGGGCACGTCATATCAACAGTGCATGAGGTGGTGGGTCTCAGGGCATTCGGCCGACTTTTCTGAGAAGAAAAAAATATATAAATATAAGCCAACAGAAGCCAAAGGAGAAGCTGCTGCCTCTCTAGGAGTCTGATCCCCTCCCTGATCAGCTTTAATGATGCCTCATTTATTCAGTCTTTCTTCTGAATAGGAGCAGAAAGTGAATTAAAAATACATCCCCTTAAAATAAATACTCATGACTTCATAAATTACAGACTTAATAGCATCAAGTACGGCTGGCGAATTCCAGCAGCAGATAATGTAAAAATGATCACTTTTTGGGATTTTATCTCAAGCGTGTCAGCTGGTGTGCAATTAAACTCAATAAAAAGAGGATTTTAATTTTTTAAAGACTAATAAAGGGAAGATGTAAAACGTCAGTTTCTGTGAAATTATTTATGTCTCACTGTAAAAAATTTTTTGAGCAGAACCAAGAATGTTTTTTTTTAACGGCTGATCCGACCAGAACCGAGCCTGCAGTCAGTCCAAGCTGAGATGGACATAATAGGCTGGGGAAATATGTGCATGTTTTTGTGTGGGAGCTACGCCTAATCATTGTTTTTATGGAAATGTATTTTACGGCATTCACAAGATGAGAAATATGTATTATGTCACTGGTTGAGACAGACAGGAAGTCCAGGAGCTCTTTAAATGATCCTCGTGGCAGATTTATGGGCTTGAAGTGGGATTGTGGGTAGGCGAGGTCATCACTCTGTCAGTCATTCATCAGGAGTGGGAGCGCGCTGCTGGGGCCTGTTCCCAGCCCAGCAGGAAGGCGGAGCCCTCCTCCACCTTTGAGCACCCTCTCCCAGCTGCGGAATGGCAACATCGAGGGCTATCAGTCAAGCGTGGACCTCAATCCATACCAACTTCATCCATCGCCATTTAATAATGTTTACAGTCTTCAAGTTCAGCCAGTGGGGAGGGGGGGTCCAAACTGCCGATGAAGCAGGCCTCTCCACCTTCTTAATCTGCTGCACCATCTACCAGCTTCCTGTAATTAAATGGCATCAGTTTGGGGCCGTGTTCACGGAAACATCCAGCAATTAGCAGAAAAGGGCAGTGGTCAGGCTTCTCCAATCAGCAAACTGAAGTTCAAGCACGTCACCTGCCTCTATGACAGCCTACTGAGGCTCTCTCATGTTCGCTTAGCTCTACCTAAGTTTGGTCCGGTCGATATCACGGTCGATCGTCTGAGTGGAACACCAGGGAGACTGAATATTCAGCTGTTTATCAAGAGCGACAGGTAACACTACTGCAGGCTAATCAGTTAGCAGCTGCTTGGCTGCACCTGGGAGACTTTAAAATGGAGGTAAGAGAATCAGGTGATTGGAAACACAGCAGGGTATGCAAGGTCTCTGGGGTGCTAAACGTCACTGATCTGTTTGAATAAACAAAAGCTTTATCTCTTAAACGGCCCCAAATGCATTGAAAATGCTTCACGATTCCTTTATGCGTTTCTTCCTGGACTTTCTGGAGAGGCTCTCTACAGCTGATGCCAGCTTCTGGGAATCAAATTAAGTCCAGGGCCAAAAGATAAATTATAGTCTGGTCTAGGATCAGCGTGATGGCAATGGATTCCTCCCACAGGAACTCTGCTCCCCATTATTCATCTGAAATCTGTGTGATACGATAATCAGCCTGAAGGCCCTCCTCTCAGGTACAGCTACCAGCAGGGCTGCATGGAGGTCAGGAGAAAAACCACTGGGACAGTAGACTGTGACATGGGGCACACCAGGTACTGTTTATTGCCAGAGTTGGGTAATTCAGGTCCAGAGAGTAACAGTCCAGACCAAGATTTTGCTTCAACCAACCAATTGAGCATAAAGAGTCACAGTCACAGAGTACTCAACTGGTTGATTGAAACAAAATCCCGGTCTGGACTTTTACTCTCTGGAACTGAATTACCCAACTCTGATTATTGCTGTCCTGGTTCCATGAGCTGGTACCATGTGTCTCTTTGTGGACAGGTATATTACATTTAAGCACAAACTCACACCAGGAAATCTTTGATCCAGAAAACTGAAATCGTGCAGCAACGATAAGTATGTTTACAGGCACAGCTAAGTGCTACGGTTATAGCTCGACTACGCCATTTTATCGGACTACTGTCCTTGTCCCAGTATACATGCATGTGAGGGGAAACAATTTATTGATGGAAGTATGTCCAACTCTGCTACAATAGGTGGCGATATGGCTCCTTTCAGCTTGTAAGTATTGGGCTTTTTCCGGTTGACCTATTATGTCACAGACGTAAAAAAATAATAACATAAATAATAATGGATGCATGGACAAATGAAGTGACATGAGATTTAATTGTGATCTGGTCAGAAGAACAGACACGACAAGATCAGGACAGCAACATGAACAAGAAATAACAAGAAATAGAGTATATTGTATAATATACTATGACAGCAGGATATTGGATATTTTTCAAATATTGTAATGTGATTTTGTTGTAATAAATATTGGGGTATTTATGAAACAAAAAGGAACATAAATTTCTCATGAACCCGTCTAGGAGTGATTTAAACAGCAAGGATGAAAATGTTTGATTTTCTTGGAGAACACATGCAGCGCTCATGCAAAAGCAGTGGAGGTAAACTTTAAACTGATTTTTAAACATATACTAGATAATCTTGAAAAGGAATAATCATTAAAATTGCAAAACTAGCCAAGTTTTTTTTCCTATGACAGAGTAAAAATGTTTTAACAAAACTTAAACTCCCTGTGCTATAATATCTGTACCAAATTGAAGGTAAAAAATAACCTGATCTTAATCTAGCTGATTAGCGATGTAAGAATCGGATGTGCACTACATGTGATGTTGGTATTAATATCGCACGTCATCCATCCAGCCATTTTTTAAATTCAGTACAAAATACCCCACTTCATGTTGTCATTTGGTCCCGGTTTTTATGCCAGTTGAAAACCAACACCTTGAAGTAGCGCAGTTCTGGTACCTTCTTGAAGTACCAAAACTACGGTACCTGGTGTGGTGGAAACACACCCTTTAGTTGAGCGGTGAATTGGACAGCTTTACAGCGCTGTACATTTCATATGTTGTCCTTTTTTCCTTCTTTCTTTTTCTTTTTTTACAAAGGAGACGCACGCTATTCCTTGTGGAAAGCAGATGACACCGGTGTATGGAGTGAACCAACAACGTGACCTCTGCTATGCTCTAAGCTTCTTCTGGGTACCAGCTTCTTCTGTTACTTCCGGGTCAAAGCCGAGGGGGGAAACAGGAGCATGCACAGGGCACCTAGGCCAGTTTCAGTTTCAGCCAGTTTTAAATCGACTCCCAATCGCATTATCTAGGTGTCTTAGTCTGACTTTGAGAAATATGACTTAGTACGATTTCAGTCGGACTGACATGTTTACATGTACTTTAAAAGTCCGGTTTTAGTAGGACTGACAAAATAATTTGATTTTCTTAGTGTGCACGTAAACATACAGAATAAAATAAAAAGACATCCAAGGTCAGTAAAAATGGATGTCAGCAGAATTTCATACCACTGCATTTGCACTTTGTTCTCAGTTCATTGTGTTTGAAATAGAGGCTTTAGAATGTCATTTACAAGGCTTCTCACAAGGAGACCCCATACAACATTCTGGACTAGTGCCAGAAAGAACAAGAGCTGGTAAATGATGACCACGCACTGGCCACACACGGCTGTGTGTGATTTAAATGCCAGGCACACCATGACGGGTGGGGGCTGCAACACTGATGCATCTATGCTGATAAGTGCGTAACATTGATATGTGTGTACTGCTGATGTAACACTGATGTAACGCAGGTGCGTGTAACATTGATATGCGTGTACTGCTGATGTAACACTGATGTAACGCAGATGCGTGTAACATTGATATGCGTGTACTGCTGATGTAACACTGATGTAACGCAGATGCGTGTAACATTGATATGC